GATCCTACATTCATCTTACTCTCTACACTATCTGAACAGGTTACCTAATGAACATTTTTTTTATTCGCACTCGAAAAGCTCATTGACATGAGTTGGCGCAAAGGCTGAATGAACGTAAAAAACGTTGCTGAAAAAATAAGTCCAACGATATTCTCTCTTTGAAAAGCGGGTTTTTCCTCACTGATGGTACAAAAAAAATACAGGACTCAATGACTCAACGGTAAGTCTACGTGCTAAGAGTCTGGTTTCGATACCTGTGATTGGAAGAGTACAGACAGTCCATTGTATAGCTTTGTGCTTAACAACCCACCAAACAACACTGCTGTTGAAAGTTAGCTCAAGATCCCCGTTTCAAAGATTTGCGTTCTTATATACAACGTCACCCCTTCTATCACTTAATTGGTTTGTTTGTTTTGAATTTCGCGTGAAGCTACACGAGAGCTATCTGCGCTAGCCGTCCCTAATTTAGCAGTGAGAGACTAGAGGGAAAGCAGTTAGTCATCACCACCCACAGCTAACTCTTGAGCTACTCTTTTACTAACGAATAGTGAGATTAACTGTCACATTATAACGCCCCACGGCTGAAAGGGCGAGCATGTTTGATGTGACGGGGATTCGAACCCGCGACCCTCAGATTGCGAGTTGAGCGCCCTAACCACCTGGCCGGTCACATAGTTGCATTCCGATTTCATCATATTTCTTTATTAGTATATCGGGTTTCATAATGACACAGCATAACAACAAGTCGCTGGATTGTTATAAATTAGTGAGTGAGAATAAGTAAAAACAGTTGCTTGAGTCATGTAAACTTTTATTGTATGAAAGAACACGTTTCTCGTTATGTGTGCGTGTGTGTCCAAGTAATTGGCTCGAGAATTTTTTCATGCTTTGCATGCATGTATGTGGGTATATAGCCGCATTATACATGCTTTTTTTTCTAATGAATGCTGTGAAGGGTTACGTGACACAAATTTGACGCCAGAAGAGTTCCGTGGATTCTAGATGATCAATTAGTGGTGTATTTCAGGTGACAATAATATGTGTTTGGAATTCTATCCACTTTCCCCTGAAACTCATTACTGAAATCTGAATTGGTTAAAAAGTTTCCAATCCTATATAGAGAGAGAAATTAAAACTTTAGTCATTTGTTATTTTGAACTTCAGAATTATTGTGCAGATGAACGTGCAGGATTTAAACTAAAGTAAATTATTATATT